ATGAAGCTCCTCATTATGCAGTTTTCTCCAGCCTCCTGTCACTTCATCGCTCTCCGGTCCAAATATTCTCCTCAACACCCTGTTCTCAAACACCCTCAGTCTATGATCACTAAATTCTTCATTACACAGTATTCTCCAACTTCTTGTTACTTTCTCTCTCCTCGGTCCAAATATTGTTCTCAGCATTCTCCAACACTCTCAGTTCATATTACGGACCAAGGTTCACACCCTCACAGAACAGCAGTCAAACTCATAATTTTAGCCTTCAAGGCTGTCGCTGATCAATCCTACCCCTTGTCAATTGAATGATTATAAATGACCGAGAACATTATCGGTATTTTAAATTCAAAAACTTATATTTAAATATTAATTGCACTTTATCGAGATTTATATCAATACAGTTCATTGTCTTGGACGCGCAATGCGGTGTTCGTGTGGAGGTTACTGCATTCTGGAGAGGATGAATAAGTCTGGGGTTCTGACACGAGCAGTCATCATTTGGCTCGGGTACCGGAAACCACAGGGGGCATGCGGTAGCGTAGTAGAACTGAAGAAGTCATCAAATACTTCAGTCAGAACAGTCAGTTTTTTTGACAGATATTCAAACTGGGCACCTTATGCATACAAGCGATAAGTGTTACGCCTTGAGCCAGTTGCTTTGTATGAAAAACAAGAAGATTCACATTAAACTGATTTAAGATGAACTTACTGAAAGCAATAACTAATTGAAAGTGCCTATTCTGAACTTGTACAAATTGCACAGTTACACCAAACCCTTAATATTAGATAGGTCCCCCGCCATGTCTCTTCAACAAACCCAGATGCTTCCATCTGCTTCCTCACTCTTGGAACTTCCAGAGTTTCAACTTCCATCCACACACTTAACATCCTCTCCCCCTTTCTCAACAAACACAAAGTGAAGCCAGAATCCACAGTGTGGCTCTAACATATCAGCCAGGGCTGTCTCTCTGATTGTATTAGCATATACCGCCCCCCCCCTCACTCACACACACAGCCTTCTCACACATGTGTGTTCTGGGTTACATTATTATTTCAGAATTTCCAAAATTCTCTTGTAATGTATTCACTTTCCTCTACCCTTACAACCCCCCTTCCATAATCATTGTACATGTACGCCATTTGCTCCACATAACAAGTAACACTCCCTCCCCTTCAACTATATTTACACACCAACTGCCATACTTACACAGAAATGTGGACTAATGTTTATTTAAACTATGTAAAAGTTAATCCCTGTTAGTGCTATAGTTGTGTTCAAAATCTGAATAAACGCTCACACAATTTTAACAGAGATTCAGAAAGGCATACAATGATACCAACTTACTGCTACAGATCTGCTAATAAAGAACAGTTTAAGGAACATGCTTTAATATAGATTTACATTAAACTAATGTTCATAAACAAAGATGCCATTTTATCTACAGTAACCATTTGACAGCATGCTGGATTGGCCCAATGGCCAGTCTGGATCCTATGAAGGCTAAGAAACCTTGCTCCTACCGCCAATCGAACCACGGCCATACAGGCCGTAGGCCATCATTATACTGAGCTATCTTTGCCCACATTATATGTACTTGAAAGAAATTAGATAATTTTTGTGACGAAACAACTGCGTGTTTACAAACTGAGGTGAGGATAATTTTCTTCGTTGACCAAGTCACTAGAATTCTCTCAAATTAATTACATATGCATTTTAATTCCTCCCATGTGATGTACAGTCCCATCTAGTTCTAATTATAACAACCTAGAAGTTAATTATAAAAGGTGAAACCTCATACCACATATATAAACCTCCTGGTACTGTAACTGGATCTAGTCTTCACTTAATTTCTCTTATTTGTAAATAGTTGCCATCCAACATTGATATTAAATATAAATATTATTGGGTAAAACCATCACTAATACTTCAAAAAGGATAAACGCAGTAAAATATCTGTAAACGGAAGAATTTTATTGAATTTCCTCTTCTTTTTTATCACTCCTCCCAAATATCTAAATTATAACCAGATTTTCCTAAGACAGGATGCATTAAACTGTTGGTCATAACCTCCAAGGGTTAGTGAGATATTTTATGGTGGGGTTTCAATTATCATAAAAATTATTAAAAATATACTCATATTCGTGCACAGTTTTGACAAGTCAGTTACACTTACTATGCAGGGTATAGCTGGAAATGTATCAGGAATGGCCACAGTGGATCAATACTGTCAACTATGTTGTTGTTGTTGTTGTTGTTGTTGTTGTTGTTGTTGTTGGAGAGGGTGGGTTTCCCCATGCACTTAGACCAGTATTGGTCCATTGTGCGTCCCCATGTGATATTCTACCAGTCTCTATAACCCACCGGCACTGGTGCGTGCCATCAGTTCCGACTCAGCCAGCGAGTTCGGCTTCTACTGGCTCAGCGGTATCTCGATGCTTCCCCCATCTACCAGAGGCGTTAGAGACTACTGTTGGGCGGGAAGTGTCCTGAATTTGGCTCAGAGGTCCCCTTGAGACATGAGGTTCTTTTACGTGCCGTAAATCTACGACTTGTTCCCTGAATTTTTCCGCCCTTAAAAATTCCACGACCTCCGCCGGGATTGAACCCGCGTACCTTGAGTCACGAGGTGGGAACGTTACGCCGCTGTCAACTATGTCACTGTATGTTGTAATATATTCCTTCAATTATCATTTGAATTGTGAACTCTTGTGCATTTATGGTGTCTCTCTCGCTGATAAATTAACTGAAAGTGCTCTGGGTTTCAAAGTAAATGTAACTGGTATTATGTGTATTAATTCTGAACTTCTGGTGAAACTGAAGACGCAGCCATTAGAAATTAGAAGTTCTTACGCAGAAGAAGTTTGCTGGGAGCATGCAATGTTGAAGGGATCTTACTTACTTACTTATGGAGCTGAGCCCTTCTTGAGAAGCCACCAATTCTGCAGCTACTCAAGAATTTCCCAGCAATTTATGGAACCCGAAGGTTCATCACCGAGTTCACAAGAGCCCTCCACTGGTCCCTATCCTGAGCCACATCTATCCAATCCATACCATCACATCCTATCTCTCTAAGATCCATTTTAATATTGTCCACCCACCTACGCCTTGGTCTTCCCTCCTGTGGTCTCTTTCCTTCTGGCTTTCCCACCAATATCCTATACGTATTCCTCGTCTCCCCATTCGTGCTACATGACCTGCCCACCTCATCCTCCTTGACTTGATATGTTGAAGGGATGAGATTCTAAATTGTACAAATGATTCTTCGAAGGAAAAGAAGACACCCATGATGATTCTTGATTATTCTGGCTAACAGCATCAAAACAGATGAAAATTTTGAAGTGACGAAACTTGTACATAACCCTGAGTACGAGGGACAGGAAAAAGAAATTGAAGACAGTGAGTTCTCCCACATCTAAGAGAGCAAGGGCGAGGAAGATGTAGTTCAAAATCATAACCCTGATGATTCAGACAAAAAAGAAAGCAAATGACAATTCATAATTCGTTTCACAAGACCATGAGGTATTTTACCTTTAAGTTCTATATTGTCTGAGGAAAATTATGAGGAGAATGCTTGGAACTGTGGCTGGAAAGTTGATGTCGCAGCGTAGCAACCATCAGCTCATATTGCGGCTCCACGGGATAATTCGAAACGCAAAAACGGATCTTCGGATGGGCCACCTGCCTCTTCTACTGAATTAAATTCCTACGATTTCTCTGTTCCAAACTATGAGAACTTCGTTTAAAAGAGGGCACTTTGGTTCAACAGAGCAGGTCCAGCAGCGATATCCAGAGATTGGTTCCAGAAAGGTCTCCAAATGTAAAGTTATCCCTGTAACAGGCCGTGAAGGCCCACGGGGCTGTAAGACGTCGAGGCTCCCTCATTTTCTCTAGACAGTCGGCTCACAGATGGCGGTTAGGTTATCAGCCTTGCGCGCCAGCTGTCCTTTTCCCGCCAGGAAGATTCCTGGTACTCATTTTTGTTCGAGGCTGAGTCGGCCCCACGGCCATAGTGCGGCTTGAAGGATTAGGTCTATTGAAAAAAATCCAATGACCTCATCGGGACTTGAACCGACAACCTTCCGGATTGTAGCATAGTGCCTCAACCAACTACGTACAAATCATGCCTTTGTATATAGCTGCCAATGGGAATTACTTTGAAAGGGACAAGGTGAAGTTGTCCCTGTACTTAACTAATTAAGCACTATGTGATGAAGGTGTATGGGGGTGTGGGTGTACAGATCAGCACCTTCTTCATGTCCACATAAGTTGAAGTGAGTGGTCCCCAGTACCCACGTGCTGGGTCCCAGAGCCGGTTTGGACGCTGTGGAGAAGAGAAAAATCTTGGCTCTACCGGGACTGGAACTCCGACCCCCTTATCTTCCGGCCTGTAGACAGCCGCTATACCGACTGGGCTATCCTCCCCCCCCCTCTCCATATATATGTGTGTGTGTGTGCGCGCGTGACTATATTGAAGGGGACAACAGCAAGTAACTAGTAAACTGAGTTTCACTATGTAAGTTTTGAGGTTTTCACGGCGATGACTATGAAGAAAGAAGTCTTCTGGGTTTAGGCGCCGTGTATTCTTCGTTTTGGCCGACGTTTCCTCCGAAACGTCGGCTAAAACGAAGAATACACGGCGCCTAAACCCAGAAGACGACTTTCTTCATTGAGTTTCAGTAACTTACAAAATCATTCCTGAAACTTTCTATTTACGTCTCCTAAGTTCTTTCAGAAAATGTGGCCTCCACGGTGAAACGCTTTGCGAATGCTTCACGACTGTACAGTAACATTTTATGCATAGGTTCCTAAAGGTACGGAAGTCGTACAACAAATTTGGCTTCCGCTGTCACGTTGCAGTCTGATTAAGAGATCTACAAAACTAGCAGAACTATTCTTTCCGCTGACAGGTTGAATCCTGAGGTTGACTAAATGTAGGTATTATTATAAACTGTTCACAAAATGATGCATGCCCTTAATTGTCTTTGGTACAGGCACCAACCTGGCATCACGGTGGGTGACGTCATTAGGAAGTTGATGCACGCTGCCCCAGTCCCATGGCCAAAGAGAGTCACGTTGCCTGGGTCACCGCCGAACAGCGCCACATTCTGCTGGACCCAATGGAGTGCCGCTATTTGGTCCATCAACCCGTAATTGGCAACTCGCGCCTTCAAATGTGGCGCCAAGTTCGCATTCAGGAACCCTAAGAACATAAAAACAAAACAGTATACAAATTGCAGAGATGATCATCAGAATGGGATAAAATTATCACCGACTGTGAGGTGGGGAGCAGAGGAGTGACCTTCGCTGTCTGGTAGTTCCCCGTGAAACCAATCAGAGCCTATCAGATATTACGAGACGCCTGCCTGCCTACTGCCATAATAACGAAAGCGATCTAGTCAGTGTGACAATTGTCCTTACGCACAGCTCCACGCCGAGGGGATGCTGCACAATCTGCGTAACACTGATGACGGCATCAACTGACACTGCCTTTCTAAGCAAACGGCCTCGGATTGCAGGGTCAAGAAAGCGGAAAAATTTATGGCGTTCCAGACTACAAGCAAAAAGAAATATTTTGCATCATCATACATGCATAAAGGATTGTCACCACAGAGAGATCACGTGTCCAGGCCTTCCGAGTTGTCTGCTCTACTTTCTTTCTTCCGACACTCACATCAGAATCTGTCCACAGTTTGACGATTTCAGCCCACTTAATTTAATTAAGGAAATAAGGAGCCGAGGTGACACAGCAGTTTGCCCTTTGTCTGCCTATGTAACGAAAGTGACTAGTGATAGGTGTCAGAGGGCAAAAGGGAACAATTGTAATAAACGTGAATTAATATGGAATATAAACTTACTTACTTATGGAGCTGAGCCCCTCTTGAGGAGAAGCCAAATCTGCAGCTAATCAAGAATTTCGCAGCATTTTATGGGATCCGAAGGTTCATTACCGTGTTCAGAAGAGTCCTCCACTGGTCCCTATCCTGAGCCAGACCAATCCAATCCATACCTCCCATCCTATCTCTCTAAGATCCTTTTTAATATTGTCCAACCACCTAATCCTTGGTCTTCCCAGCGGTTCTTTCCTTGTGGCTTTCCCACCAATATCCTATATGCATTTGTCGTATCTCCAATTCGGGCTACATGCCCTGCCCACCTCAACCTTCTTGACTTGGACATTCTAATTCTACTTGGAGTATGAATATGGTATATAAAGGGAAGCAAAAAGATTACTGGGAATTTTATTACAAAATAATTTTGGGTGCAGTAAGAACAGTATATGTCGCTAAAAAATGTTAAAATTATAATGAAAATAAATATCAAGGGAAGGTATGTACGTCATGTATGTATTTTATGTTCTCTAGATAAATATGTTATACTGAAATATATTTAATTCCTCTTAAATATGTTTCAAAATAACAGCCATAAAAGAAACAGTAATTTCTTCCTGTATCCTAATCTGATACGCACCGAGCAACAGGATTTCGCTCAAGACTTTACTGGCTCCCAGGATCCGTTTTTACGACTGCCTTACCCGGAGAATTCCAGAAGGAATACGACTTGTCTCTTGGCCTCAATCAAACAATAAAAGAAGTTTATCCACTGCAATCCCATCTTGCGCTTCCTTTTAAACCCGACCTTCAATGCAGGGAGTCAAAAGGCTCACTAAACTACAGAATGTCTAAAAGTTCTGTTCCTCACAAGCAACATAAAGCGTGACGCACATGAACCACGAAGATGGGATGTACAAGCAGATCTCTTATATTTTTCTTCTACCGTGAAGATGGAGGCGATACGTTCCTCTCAAACGTCAGTTAACACCACATATACACGGTGCCAAATCCCAGAAGACTGCTTTCTTCATGGTCACCGCCGTGAAAGCCTCAAATCTTACACAGAAAGGAATTTCTTAATCTGCTGAGACTCTGTCAGTTCGTCACCCACTCCGTGGAGCTGGTCATCAGGAGTCAACACTCAAAGCGTCAGTTTGTAGTTTACGGAATACTTTTCAGAAAGAAATATACATATAATACATATCGTGAGGGAGTGAGCAGTGGAGGTTTAAACAAGACAGAAAGTGGAGGTTTTCTAAAAACTGTAAAATGGAATCTGGATAAGTTACACTGTACAGTTTTCTTGGTAACTTATACTAGACACTAAAAAAGAAATAAAATTGCGTGCGGAAACGAATTAACACTGCTGATAACATCTCTGGCATGTCGATGTAACTCACTTAACTTTTAATTAATTCCATGGAGGCGAGTAATTGCCGAGAGGCCCATAACTGTGCAGATACATTCGCGTCAAGTAAAGAATGACTTAAGTCAAATTCAAAGTCACGTTGCCACCGACGGACAGTCAATCTGTCTTGGTGTCGAGCCCCAGTCAAGATATACGCGCGGGATTTAAAGAAAATTTGGACAGATTCACTCTCTATCGGCGTAAGAATTACTATAATCCAATTCATAGTTTACTTGTTGTGAATTTTTAAAATGTTTCACGGACTTATGACTAACTCTGTATATATGTTGTGCAGTGCAGGGGACGGGACGGAACCTTGAGGCGCTCCTGCTTGCATTTCCTTTGGCGTAGACATTTCGCCTTCCACGGTGATACTGATCTACTCCCTCATAAGCCTTCGTGGTGTAGTGCTTAATTTGTTGAGCAAAGGGACAACTGAAACACGGAATTTGCTTTGTGAAAGGAAGGAGCTAGTGAGCTTGATAAAAGTGTTCGAAAATTCCGAATTAGGTAACCTATACAGCAAGCCAATGTGCCACGTTGTATCAAAGGCTTTTTCAATATCCAAAAATACAGCAGCCGCATACATGTTATTGTTGAAATTCAAGGTTACGTGGTCCGTAAGCCTCATAAATTGAAGTGTCGTGCTGTGACGGCACGAAAAGCAAAGTGGCTTGCGTTAAGCAGGCCTCTTTCTTCAATGTGCTTGTGGACTATTTTCAGAATGCCTTTCTGCCTTTCTGACAGTTTGCCTGTTGTGGGCAAGAGGCTAACCGGAAGCAAATTTATAGAAAATTTTGGGTCTTTGCCGTGTTTCGGGTAACGTTATAAATTTTGCGCTCTTCCAAGACTTTGGAAACTAGGACAGTCGGAGGTACTGATTAAAGAAATGGGTTAAGTGTACCAATGGTCGCCTTGGAAGGTACCTGATGCATTCATTTGGAATGCCATCAATTTCGCAGGCCTTTCTCAATTCCATGAAATGTATCAATTTCTGTAAGTCACATGCTCTTATTTTCTCAAGGGGCCTGTTGTCCACGGCTTCGATCAGAGCTTGAACTCAGGCCTACATCCGGCGTGCATTGTTTTCGCCACACAAGTCGTCGGCGTGACCTGACGGATTTCGCAATGGGCCATATAGCGTGAGGCGTGATCTCAGATTTGCCTATTTCTTTTTCTACTATTCAAGTGTCTTTTTACGGGGTCTCTCTTCCGATTGGTTTCGAGACACTGACGTTTTACAATGTGGATCCCTGTAAAAAAATGACCATGAATGGAGAAAGCTTAAATAGTCCGCCTGCTGCTTCCCTGGACGTCTCTTCTTTGACACCAATAACAAAACAAAAACGTAAAGAGAAGTGGCGAGAATACAAGTGATCGTTGGTGGGAGTGGAGAAGGCAAGCAGAAGAGAACAGCTCCTCGGTAGATATTTCCTGACTCTAGCACAGGATGTGTCTCAGGCATCTGCGAGGATGCGTCATCAGATGGTGATGATCTTACTGCCATCATTGGACAGTTATTACACTCTGTTCAAGTTACGATGGGAAGCAAAATTGCCGTACAGGAAATCTCCTTGAACAAATTGTGATTCTGATACGTTGGTAAGAGTGCTTACGCGAGGTATGTCACACACATATTCCAAGATATCCTCAAACTGTTAGGGAATCCGAAGGTTTATTCGCGTCGTCACAAGAGCCCGCTAATTCCTATCCTTAGGCACTGAAATCCGGTTCCCACCATATTTTTATCATAGTCCCATTTATGGTTCAAGTTTTCAAAATTGGTACGTGTCAAACCAAACTCTTCACACCGACCTCAAGATCCCATATGTAAGAACCGTAATCACAGACAGAATCCAAAAACATTATCAGAAACTGGAATCTCACCCCAACAACGCAATAGAAGCTCTCCTTCAACCTACACAATACAGAAGACTAAGACGAACTTGGCCAAACGATCTCCAGGAAAACTGAGGCGTAATCGATGGATTACAGCTCTTCAAGCCAACTTAGTACAATAGAATAATTATTGTACATGACAGCAAATTAGCTCATAGAATGCAAATTCAGACTGCTAATAAATGATAAATTAAAAAAAAGTTTTCAAAAACAAAAATATTGTCACGTGCAGAGGTTTTGTGTGTGATTTATAAGACGGGTTCTGAATTGCATGATCGGATTTATTAACACCTTATATACAGGTACAATACTCGGACATACAGGCAAGACAAGCTGATCTACATACTTAACGGTTCACCGTTGCATACACGCTGGGTTCTCTCGGTCTTCAATAGTCTTATCCAGGCAACAGATTTATAACAGTCTCACTGTCACTTCAAATCACACATGGAGTCTGCTTTTCGCAGCCTAATTCCTTTCTTTCCATTATTCTGCAGCTGCCAACTCAATTCAATTCCAAGCTCATATCCCGGCAGGCTGGCGTCCCGAAACTCGGTTCTTCACTTCACTTCACTTCATGCTGCTCAACATTGCTTTATAACCACTTTGCACGGACCATGCAGAAACACAACCTCTGCTGTTGAGGAAGAGTCTTTACTGATCCGTTGCCTAGCAATGGATGTCCTATTGTTGCGCCTGTTTGCCTCCGCTAGAATGTACTTACCCAGTCGTTGCCTACCGATGGGTATACACGCCACAATATGTTATATTAATTTAATTCTAAAATATTATTAAGTACTTCGTGAACTTAAGAAAATGCAGAAATGTCTGAAACCTTCCTTGGCATGAAGGCTGAGTTGAAATAACACCACGACCTTTCCTAAATCGCAAGCGAACACTGCTTATGACGTTAACATCTTACAGTATTCAGTATTCGATGGCCGAACTGAAACGTTTCCAATTTCCTTGTGGATGTTGCCCATTCGCGTAAGTTATGCTTACCCATGATTTGTAAGTTATGACGACATAAGGAGAACAGAAAACTGTCCCGCAAAGACGGAT